CATCATAGTTTTCAAGTCTTGCCTACAACTAATACAAAACCAAGATTGAAATTACAATTAAAAAACTAAAAATACAATTGAAAAATATATCTTACAACCATTAATAGTTACAAAAATAGCCACAACTTGCTACCAGTCATCGATCCCGACCCATTTTTTATTGTTGCCTGCCACTCACTGGCGGATTCAGTGTGGGGGCCCTGGGGGCACGGGCCCCCACTGGCTTTGGTATGAAAACCTAGTTAATATTATTTATGATGTTTTAAATATGGGATAAATCAAATAATTTTTTTTACCTTTTTCATCCCAATAGCAATCCTTCCGGTATAGTGAAGCAAACGAACCGAACCCGACCGCAATTCACAAAATGCATTTTTTTGAATAAATATCCCTTACAGGAACAGCAAATTCTAGCCTCACCATCAGCAGCCTCAAGCAGCAATTGGGTTGAATATGCTATTGTTCATATCTAAGAAAATTCTAAACCTCCATGCGGTGTGGGACTAAACACAGTTTTTTTTTCTCTTTTGTTTTCCTGTGGCCATGGGGGAGAGTAGCGGGAGAGAGAATAAAACCTCAAAAAGAAGGAGAGAGGGAGAGAGAGAGAGAGGCGGACATGGGGAGTTAAAAAAATTAAAAAACAGTTATTAAACATATTATCAAAATATATTATTTAAATAATATTATTTAGGGTATTTCTTAATGTTATTAAATACATTATTTAAAAAACAGTTATTAAAAAATATATATAATTTTAATAACATTATTGAATATATTTAATATTTATTTTTAATTAAATAAGGCATAATCTAGCTTCTTAATATTGACGATTTTTTAATTATTTTAATTATTTGTGCCCCCACGTAAAAAAAATCCTGTCTCCGCCCCTGCATATAGCTTAAGACTTCGTTTGTGAAAGCCTCTTTACTATTTTTTAAGTAGTATTTTAATAAAAAAGAAATTATAGCTCAAAAAAATTTTATACTAATAAAAAAATTATTGCTTAAACCGATATTCAAATATAAACTATTTGATTTAAGTGATAATGATAATTTCCTATTCTCATTATTATTTGCATTCGCAAATATGAATTTGAATAACATTTCCTTCATCATCTTCAAATTTGGTTGATATTTGAGTGCGGTGAAGGCTCATAATAGCATGAAATATGATGAAGTAAAAAAATTTAAAGCTTGAGAGAAATCAAATTAGTTTATTTATGTTGAAAGAAAGAATTCAATTACTTTATCTATAACTTAGGGTTCATGCTTTTGAGTTACACTATTATATCAATGGAACGTCTCCTAAAATTTACATGCCTATTATAAGTGATACCAATGTACGTGACATGTTTAATAATTATTACGAAAGAAGTAGAATTAAGGTGGTGATTGCAGTTCAAGAAGAAGATATGAGTCAAACATAATATGGCAAGCATCATTCAATTTCAAAGAGTAGTGAGGACAATAATATAATGCTAACTGGTTTGTGTGATTGTTTCTCTCCAGCTCAGATCGAAGATGCAAATTATCTATGTGTTGGTTTGCGTTATGAAGATGCAATATTTTTCATGCAAGCAATTCGATCTATGACTATACATTTCATTATTTAGGTTTCTCATTGATATTATCGAGAAGCTAAAACATTGCATGGTGGCATTATAACTTAAGAAGAAATAAATAGAAACCTTCATAAAAATAAAAATAAATAAATAAATAAATAAATAAATAAAAACAATACAAATTTTGTTACAATCAAATAGATATAAGAATCTACACTAAAACAACAAATCAATCCAAGCATATCATAAACTACACAGGAAGTGTTCTACTTGTTCGGATGATTAGAAGAGAGTCGAGAGACAGGACATATAGTATGGGCTAGGGCATTCGTGAGATTGCGGTGTAGGCCTAGGGCATTCGTGAGATTACGGTGCAGGTTGGCTAAGTATTTCACATATTTAGCCAAATAAACACGATAAATGGGAGATATATTATAACCTTTGCGATGAGCTTCGATCGGGACTTCTGATTTGATAGCAATGAAGAAATGGAGAAGACGACAAGCAAAACACTTTAGAGAGGATAGATATCATTACCTTTGCGGTGAGCTCCGATCTAGACTTCTGATATGATAGCAAAAGAGAAATAGAGAAGATGAAAAGCAAATCATGAGACCGAAAAAGATGCGATTGGTCAGGCTGATTGGTGTTTTGCCTTTGCGGCTAGCTCTTGTCTAGACTTCTTATTCGATAGGAACGAAGAAATGGAGAAGACGAAGAGCAAACTTACTTGAGCGACGAAGATTTGAGGGGTCGAGCTAATAGGGCTTTGAAGGTAGTAACGAAGTGGTGATTTAGATGAAAGGAATTGTAATTGGGTGGTAGGTATGTAAATAGTTTATTTTGGGTGTTAGGTAAGTAAATATGATAGTTTTTATTGTTATGTATGTAAAAATCACAATTTAAATATGCTCCTTCATTATCCTTATACTAATCAAATAGCTTGCGAATCTGAAAAGCTGCAAATATGCCCTCAAAATGTGCTCCTAAAATAAAAATAAAAACAAAAAATTTTTTCGAGTGAGATGGAGGTCATTATAAAATATTTATCATAAAAAGTAGAACTAATCATTTTAAAGGAAAAAAATTGGTTTAAAATATTTTGTTACTTTTTAATCAGGGTGTATGATTGACTTAGATCTCAATTTTATTATTGAGCTTGACGAGGAACTTGCTATTGAATTGTAAGAGGGCAATATGCCCCAGCATAGTGTCTTTGCACTGCAGTTCAAGGCACCACGGCGTTGCAAGACAGAGAAGTCAATATTGAGGTGTTGCAAGTATAGGGCAACAACTTTGTGAGTCGAACAAAGCAAATTTTCTTAGTTCTTATTATTTCGCTTGAATGATTATATCTTTTGATGTAATAGAAATTAATATTTTTGTCTATTTTGCAAGTAGAATAGAGCGAGGAGTGAATAGAGATAATGTGAGTGAGAATATAGAGATTATACAATTTCTCCCATTGTCATAGTGGATTTCTTAATTTCGTGTAGCTATTTGATTTTTTTCTCAATTTAATATTTTCTCACATTACATCTTGCGTTCTTTTCCATGTTTTCTTTTTTCTTGTTTGTTTCATTATGTGATTTTATTCCTAACATATTCTAATACAATCTAAATTATGATGGACAATTAAAATTATTAAATTTTCTTTAAAATTTATACTCATTTTAAGGGGCTGGTGATGAATTTTGAATGCATAAAAAAAAAACAATAAGATAAATTTAAAATTTATCAAAATTTTATCTTGCATTCCTCATCAAGCACACCAAAATTTTCATAATGTAATCACTACATCTGAAATATTTAACACTCATTTTTCATGAAATCAAATAGCCTATAAAGCAAATTTAATAATTTCAAAATCTATCTTAACCAATAATTATATTAGAACAAAGAATTTAATTTGTGAGGAGAGCTAATCCCACAATTTTTTTCAATTTCAAGCTACCAATACAAAGAATTTAATCCATGAAGAGCTAGTCCTATACTATTATCATCAAAATTGAAATATAAAAAACAGAAAACACACATCCACAAAAAACAAATTAAAAGAAAAAGGACAGAACATTAATCAGCATTTGTTCCAAATCATAATCTTAATAACAACAACCAATTAGCTTATATTACACAACATTCCCATCAAGTTGAACTCCCAGAAGCCAAAACTAACCTCTCAAGAACTTGAACGACTTCTTTCATTGAAGGCCTTCTCTGCGGAGCCGTGGAAGCACAGGCAAATCCCAGCTTAAAACAACTCAACAGAGCTTCTTCCTTTCCTTCCACTTCTCCTCTCAACGCAGGATCAGCCATTCGCAACACTCTCTTCTTCTCCTCCACGACATTCCACTGCATAATCTCCACCTCAAGAAAAACTCTCCCTGATACCAGCTCAAGAATCACCATTCCAAAGGAATAAACATCCCATTTAGGATTTGGTTTCAGGTTCTTTAGAGACTCAGGAGCTTGATATGGAGGAGGGGCGGAGATGGAGGCAATGGGACTGGCTCCGGTGGCCGTCGATGACGATAAATCGGGAAGGCTTCCTTGTGAAAGAGTCGATCTTTTGCTGCCGAATTGTCGAGCGGAAGTGCCGGGCTTGGTCTCATTGTCGGTGGCGAGGAGGCGGTCGATGCCGAGGTCTCCGATCATGGGCTCCAGGTCTGCTGAGAGAAGGATGTTGCTGGGCTTGAGATTGCCATGGAGGAACTTCTTATCGTGTAGGTAAGCCAAGCCTCTGGCTACTCCTCTGGCAATTCTGAGGCGGGATTCCCAGGATAGGTGGAATGGAGAAGAGCCGAGTTTCTCTGCAACAAGATATGCAAGGTGTTTGATTTTATTCCTAAGATGACTTCAATTTAAACTCCAACTCATTCAAAACTGAACAAATTTATTCATATCATCAACTAGTTAATTTTTTTTGAACGGCAATTAATAAAGAGAAATTTCGTACGACAAAATTTTAAAATTGTCAAGAATCAATCTCATTAGTAGAAAAAATTGATCTTACAAAATCCTCCCTCTATTAATCTCCAAAAAAAATGATAAAAATAATAAAAATTAAATTAAATCAGATTTAATCAATTATGAGATTAAATTAAACAACTGGAAAAAAAAAACTAATATTAGAAAGAACAAACTTAAAAGTCTACGATCATGGAAGTTACTCATTTGTGAACAAAGATAGAATTGATAAATAGGAGGAAGAGATTTTACTGCTAAAGAAGATATTGGCCAGGCTGCCATTGGAGGCGTAGTGGTGAATAAGGAGCTTTTCATCTGCTCCCCAGTAGAAGCAGCGAAGCGGAAGAATATTAGGATGGCGAAGCTTGGCAATGGTGCGGACCTGTGCCTCGAAATCTTTGAGCTTGTCAATGGAGGAACTTTCCCCAATGCGGCGTACGGCGAACGCTGTGCCGTCGGCGAGCACGGCTTTGTAAACAATGCTGGCTCCCGTAGCTCCGAGGATGTAGGCCGAAGCTTTAAGTAGCGTCTCTACCTCAAGCTCCGTTTCTCCATCCACTGATACGAGGATTCCACCTTGATTCTTTTCATGGGCTATTGACTTGCTGTCGCCGTTTTCTTTTCCGGCGGCTTTTACTTTTCCTTCTTCCTCTGTTTCAGTTTCGGAGGAATTATTGCTCTCTGATGTTTCTTCGGTTTCGTTTTCGTCGCCGGAGTTCTTCCGCAAGCATAAGGATAGACCGCCGTGTCGCTTGGAGTCTGCTTCTGGTGCCCTTTGGTCTGACTTTATTGGTTTGACTTCTCTGTTTTGGTTCTGTTTTTTCTTGCTGTGATGGAAGAAAAGGATTAGAATGAAGAGAAGACCGAGTCCGGCGAGATCTCCTATGGCTATGGCTGCGATTGTTGCTGGTTTAAGACTGGCTGAGCTATGAGAGCTCTCGCCACCACCGCCAGAACCTGTTCCTGGAAAATCGCCTTTCGGGGATTTTGGCATCACTGCGAAGGCTGGGGGAGACTTTGCTGCTGGCGAGGAGTTATTTGGTGGCTTTGACAGTGTGGAAGGGATGGTGCAGAGATTCTTGAGCGGCTTGCCACAGAGATCCTGGTTTCCGACGAAAGCCGCCGCCTTTTGCGTTAGGAAAGCTTCAGAAGGCGGGATCTCGCCTGAGAAATTGTTGAAGGAGAGGTCCAGCGTCGCGTTTGACGAAAACCTCGACCCCAGTTTCGGCGGAATCTCGCCAGCGAGCCGGTTGTAAGAAAGATTCAGGTATCGGAGATTCTCTCCAGTAAGATCGGGCGGAAGGGAGCCGTTCAATAGATTCGACCCGAGGTCTAAAAGTTCGACCTTTCTGAACCCGCCGCCGGGAATTTCGCCGGAGAGATAATTGTTGCTGAGAGAGACAATGGTGAGGTTGGGGAGAAAGGTAAGGTTTCTAGGAACGGTGCCCATCAAAGCATTGTCAGACAAGTTAAGAGCTTGGAGACTCTGAAGCTTTCCGAAGAGCTCCGGTAACTCGCCGGAGAGCTCGTTGTCGCCCAGAGAGACAACGCGGAGCTCCGACGCGTTGAACAGCGCCGCCGGAAAGGTTCCGTTGAAAACATTGCCAGATAGGTCGAGGTGCCGGAGATGCTCGATGAGACCGAGGTCGCCCGCAATGGATCCCAAAAGCTGAGCGCCAGGAAGAACTAAGCTTATCACCCTGGACACAGAAAAAGAAGACGGATTATCGTCCCAGTTCCTAACCGCCGAGCTGTTTTCGCCGCCGGCCTCTGGGAAACCGGTGCACATGACGCCGTTCCACGAGCAAGGAGTCTCGTCGTCGGAGTTCCAGTCGGCAAGCACCGACAAAGGATCTCTGAGCACGGAATCCTTGAAGGAGAGCAGCAAGACTCCATCTTGGGTTAAACCAAGTAAAGAAGTCGGTTCACAGAGAAGGAGAATCAAAAAGGGGAGAACTTGGAGTCTCCATTGAAGATGGTCCTTACTCTCTGAGAAGGTCATTCTCTAGTCAGTTTCTTATCAGAAGAGAAAAAACATTTCTTACAGCATTTAGAAGAAAGGTAGAAGAAGAAGACTGTGGAGTTGGTTTGCAGAGCACTAATACTAACAACCCCCCGCCATTACCTGCTACTTTTGTTTGGACTTTGGAGAGCTCACAGTTCCAGAGAACCATAGAAAAGATAAAAAAAGGTAAGAAAAATCGGGGTAAAGGAAAGGTTAAAAGGATTTTCTTCTAAGGACAGGGACAAAACCACAGCTCACCAAAAGAGGGATCACAGCTTCACAGATCTGAGCCCGCCATTAATATTTAACCTGAAGCTCTCAGGAATGATTAAATGCCCACCTGTTTGTTCTTTTTCCTTTTATCTTTTCTTTTTTTGCTCTTTAAATCTTTTTACCGCCTAAAAAACAGAGGGAATCTCTGTATCGAGGAAAACGAACAAGGAGATGGGGAATCATGGATTCAATGTGATTGCCCTTGGCCATGATTAGTACAGAATGTGAGCTTGTTTTGTTCTATTCTCACAGGAGGAGCCAGGGATCTCTTGTGTATATAGAATCATTATGGCTTGCTTATGAGATTTTTTTTTTTTGTAACATTGGAGCTAAATAAATTTTCATATAAATTATGTTGAATTAGAAGTCGTTAAAATTATTTTAAATTTAATATTATATATAAAAAAATTATATCTTAATTTTAAAAAAATTAATTACATTTAACTTTATCATCTAATGTTTTATATGAAAATATTTTCATATAATTTTTTTATTATTAATCAACAATCAGTGTTATTATGCTTCAATTTTATTAGTTTTCTCTATTAGAGCTTAAAGAGATTTCTAGGATAATATTATACAATAAAATGAATGTATGATAGTCGTTAAAATTTCTCAGAAAAAAAATTTATCCTTAGTGGTCATTAATAATACTCACCTCTATGAGCAAAAGCTTAAAAAAGGATTTACATATATAGCACTCTAATTTAAACTATTTTATATTTTATATTTAAACCTTACTATTTACATTATATAAAAGTTTATTTAATTTCATTAAAAACTTTGATGAAGCCCTGATGAAGAAGTCACAATGGGTTCTCACTGGAAAACGAAGTAAAAAATAAGGAAGTCGTGATAAGATCTCGCTGCAATAAAATCGAAGGTGTGTGAAAAATAATAATTATGAATGTTGGTGAAAGATGACGAGATGAGGAGTTCGATTATTGGATTACAATAGAGATGGTGAAAAGGGTTTTACTTTTTATGTTATTTAAATTTTTAATTTTGATATGAGTAAAGTGTAAATTTTAAACATTAAATATATAAATGACATAATTTTGCATATGAAAAATATACATAACAAATTCTAAGTTAAGTGGAGAAGATATCAATAAGGTCAAAATATATACATCAAAAAAGCATGTTTTTAAAGTTTAGTGGTTTAGGCATCATTTGGTACCGTTTTCTCAATGCTTTCTAAAAAAGCTTTTGATTAAATTTTTTTTTAAAATTTTTGTACTAGAAAGTTGTTTTTGGAAACAGTAAAAACCAATTCCAAAAGATGTCTGGGTTAACTTTGTTATTATTTTTTAAAGAAATTTTTTAGTACAAAAATTAAAATTTGTGTTCCAAAAAATTGTTTTAAGAAGCACTCGGAAAGATGTCTTGTTTAGTATAACTTTCTTATTGATTTATGAAGCAACTCTCTAGTGTTAACCATGTCATTATCTTGAGTTAGTTATCAAGATAACACGTGGCCTTCATCCATTTGTCCTCTAATACTAATTCTGCTTATATATGCATTGTATTCCTGTACAAATGAGAAATAGAAATTACTTTGTTTCCTCTCTGTATTCTCCAGTTGTCCTCTTCCTCTTTCTGCCTCTCTTGATTATTTAATCAAGATTTATCAAAGCGGGTCTTCCTGTAAACCCACTCTTTTTCGCCTCCTGCTCTCTCCGGTGCTTACCTTCTCTCCCATGGCATCCTCTTCGTAGACTGCAACCACTACCGACGCAAGGCCGAACTCAACTACAACCTTCGATCAACAACCAATCCCTCAACAGCTAAAATTTCTCATAAGCAACATTAAAGGCATCATCTCCCTCACCCTCACCGCTGAAATTATCCAATCTAGCGCTCTCAAGTCCTAAAATTGTTCAAAGCTAACGGGTTTAATGGCTTTCTTGATAGATCTTGCACTTGCCCCTCTCCAACCCGATCCACCCTCCTCCTCTACTCTCTCAACTTAGACGTGGATCCTCCTTGACCAAAATCTCGTCGCAGCACTCTATTCGATCATTTCTCCGAGCATCTTACCCTACGTCCTCTCTCTTGAACATTGTTCGGACATTTGGGATACCATCGCTCTCCATCTCCAATCTTCAACCCGATGAAGAACGATCCAGCTTCGCAACGAACTCCATCATTTATCTATGAACAATCAAAATATGTCACAATATATGCTCGCCATAAAATCCTTAGTCGACGCCATTGCTGCGACAGACTCTCCGCTAGACCCCAAAGAAGTTATATTCTACACACTCAACGGTCTTCCGTCCAAGTACCAGGCGTTTAAAATCGCCATCCGAACAAACCCGCAACCGCTGAGCCTAGATGATCTCTACACGCTTCTTTGCAGCAAGGAGCTGAACTTGGTTCAAGAAGCTATCAAAGATCTACATAATTTGTAGCTTATCGATCCATCCACTACACTTACAACCTACCGTGGCAGCAATCGTGGTCGTTATACCACCAACCAAGGCAGATCTTCTTCCTATGGTCGCTCTTCCCGCAACCGATTGGACAAGCAAAATGCCAGATCCGTCACTTGCCAAATCTGTTCCAAAGCCAATCACTCTGCCATTAAGTCTTGGAATCATCATGATCTGTCATACTTAGAAGAAACGAACAAAACTGCACTATTTGCTCCATCCAAATCAAATAATTCTAACGAATGGTACCTTGACACTGGCACAACCCGTCATCTCACGTTCGATCCATCTAAAATTCAATCTATCAAGCCTTACACCAGCGCCCATCAGATCACTCTAGGCAATGGCAACCAAATACCTATTCACAACTCAGGTAAAGGTATTTTACCCACTCCCTCAGGTAATCTATATCTCCAACACTTACTTCACGTTCCCAATCTCTCATTCAACCTTATCTCCATTCATCGCTTAACAAAAGACATTAATTGCACCGTCAAATTTTTCGCTAACGGGTTTCAAATTTAGGACTCAATGACGGGTCGTCTACTACTCACGGGTACATGCCTTGATGGCTTATACCCTATTCGCTCTACCATCCACAACCCAAACCTCGCACTCTTCTAGACTCAATAAATGTCCAACCTTTGGCATAAGCATCTTGGCCACCCGGCGTCTACCACATCTCAATATCTACACAAATGCATTCCATCTATATGTAATAAAAATAATTTGCATTGTATTTCTTGTAGATTGGCCAAGAGCCAACGATTACCATTTGATTGTTCTACAAATTGTAGCTTTCAACTCTTTGAATCAGTTCATTCCGACGTCTGGGGTCCTGCACCCGTTACCTCCATTCAAGGTTTCAAATATTACGTTTCGTTCATAGACGATTGCTATAAATTCTACTGGGTCTATCCTTTACTTAACAAATCTGACATGTTTACCAAATTCACCAAATTCAATAACATGTTTACCCGCAAGTTTAATGCTCAAATCATAACATTTTGGTCTGATGGCGACGGTGAATTCATAAATCACAAATTTCAAACTATCTTCAAACATTTGGGTATCAACCATCAGTACACCTGTGCTTACACTCCCTCTCAAAACGACATCGCGGAACGAAAATATAGACACATTCTTGAAATAATTCGTAACCTTATGATAGATGCTCATCTCCCGCATTCCCTCTGGGTCAAAGCACTTCTGGCATCTATCTACCTAATCAATCGTCTCCCTACTCGCACTCTAAAAAATCTCAGTCCATATCACATTCTCTATCGCAAATCTGCCAGGTATGACCATCTCAAAATATTCGGCTGCCTGTGTTATCCTTAGTTAAAACCTTACAACAATTCAAAACTCTCTCCTCTCTACACCCTGCATCTTTATCGAGTACGTAACTTCTCAAAAAGGCTACCAATGTCTCAAAAAGTCTACCAATGTCTCCACCCTCAAACAGGCCGCATCTACGTTTCTTGTCATGTCATCTTCAACAAAGCTATCTTTCCTTATCATCACAAAGTAAGTACAAACGAACACAGCCCCTCACCGAGCCTCACTCCTCCACTATTTCTTGTTCTTGCTACTTTTCATTATAGCACCAAACCCATAACACCCACGTCCAGCCACAGCAATCCCCCCGCCTCACAAAGCAATCATCCTATGATCGAACCCCACACAAACAACGATCCCATTTCACACTCCTCTCCCACAGCTCAACACACACACCACATGGTTACCCGCTCTAAAACTGGTCATCTAAAACCAAAAACCATCTTTAATCTCATTCACACCACTCCTCCTCTTCTGCCAATCCTACTACATATATCGAAGCCTCTCGCTCTGAGCACTGGCGGAGTGTGTCATGTCCGACGAATTCCAAGCACTTCAATCACAAGGCACTTGGGAACTGGTTCCCCACGCTCCTTATCAACGTTCTTGGCTGCAAATGGACGTTTTACACCAAATACTTAGACAACGGTACTATTGCACGCTACAAAGCCTGCATTGTAGCTAAAGGTTTCAATCAAGAACACAAGCTCGATTACATAGAAACATTCAGCCCCATTGCAAAGATACCCACAATCAGAATTCTACTCGTTATTGCCCTACACCAAGGCTGGACAATCCATTAACTCGATGTCTCTAATGCATTCCTACATGGTAACCTCAATCATACCGTCTACATGAAACAACCGACTGGCTTTATTGACAAACTTCATCCCAACCACGTATGCCAACTGAAAAAGGCTTTTGTACGGCCTCAAATAATCACTACGCGAATGGTTTGCTATACTCTCTAGTCACCTACAAACTCTCATATTCCAGCTAAGATCTTATGACACTTCCTTATATATTTACAACAAAAACAAAATCACTATGTATTTTCTAGTTTATGTTGATGACACCATTCTTATAGACAACTATCAAAACACAATCAAGACAATCATCGCCAACCTCAGCTCCAAATTTACTATGAAAGACCTCGGCACCATCTCTTAGTTCCTCATAATACAAGTAGTGCACACCACCTACGGGCTTCACCTCAATCAAAGCCGATTTGCACAAATAATTATATCTCGGGCAGGCATGACAAACTGCAAACCAGTCTCCACACCCTCTCAACTCAAAATTTCTCATACCACTTCCAACTCTAATGCTTTTTCTAATCCGTCTCTATACTGTCATTTCGCCAGATCACTACAATACTTGATGCTTTTGAGGCCGAATCTATCCTTTGCAGTCAACAAAGTCTGTCAACACATGCAAAACCCAACAATTGTACACTTCGAAGCTCTAAAACTTTTACTGAGATTCCTACAGGGAACCATTCACACCGGCCTACCCCTATTCCGTGACAAACCGATCCTTCGATCCTATGTTGACTTCGACTG